TGGCCTTGGTGTTATCAGCACCACACTCTCCCAAGTGAGCCATGGGCCAGCCCTAGTTTGTCTTTTTTAATGGTGACATTTTTCTTTCCTTTGTGGTATGAAGAGAATTTTTGCAGTGATCATCCCCTACGTTTCATGATGTGAAATATCTTGCACTGAACACTTAAAAAACAAGGCAGATATATATATGCTGACTTGGAACAACCTTCAAGATAAACTAAATGGAAAAAAACCATAAACAGTATACAACCAGTCAAATCATCTGACTAGGGGTTGGGTCCTAAGTTGAACTTAAGACAAAATGGCATGTAGTCCAAAGTGCTCTGGAACACCTGAGGAAGGAAAATGTCGTATTGGAGCCCCACATCTTCTTGCAATAATCAGCATTGGAACAGATCACAATTTCCCTATTTGAGTTGCAGATTAAGTACTTGCCTTGAGTGTAGGGACTTAAATGTTTCTGTAAACTCTAGAATCACATGAGGGAACTGAAACTTTATACCACTTTTCCGACTCACGCTTATTCTGGGGCATATACCTGTTTAGTGGAATGACACTGGTACTATGNTTTCCGACTCACGCTTATTCTGGGGCATATACCTGTTTAGTGGAATGACACTGGTACTATGGCTTTTTTTTGGCCAGGCACAAATAGTTAAGCAGTTTTATATGATGCAACTCTACCATACATAATGTTTCTGGGGGAAAAGCAGTTTGGAGGCACAGAAGAGCACAGGTAGATATACCTAGATGGCTTTGAAGGACACACAAGAACTGGTACAGTGATTATATCTGGGCAGAATGTTGTTCTTTAATCACGTGTATACTTTTTTGTACTGTAAAAAGAATTTTTGGGAAAGGTAATATATAATAAAAATGTCAAAGTCAATAAAAGAGCAAAAGGCCATTCCAGATACTGTGCTCCCCCCAGTCACTCCCTCTGGATTTGGTTTCATTTGGAGTGACACTAGATTGTGGACACCAGCTATTTCGACTTTGGTTAGAGGTGAAAACACCAAGTTTTGAGGTTTGTCATTACTGTAGCTGCCTTAAGAGACGTTGAATGGCAAGAAGCACCCTTCTACGTCCGTATACTCCAGAGTGTGCTCTGGGTAGGCACGACCAAATCTCAGGAGGGCTGCAGGAGGCAGAGGGGGAGGGGAAGGTGCTCCGCTGCTGCCTTATGTGACTGTCACTGAGTGTTCCTTTCTCCTCACAGTTGTCAAGTGCCTGATGCTTAGGTGGGCTCAGTTAAGACAACTATCCCCTTTCTCTTCATGCTAGTCAGA